TTTTTTTTGGGGGGGGGGGGGGTGATACACAAAGATAGCGGCAAAAAATGCATGTTCGCATGAAAGCATGCCTCGCCTGCTATCAATAGGCCGACCCTTGCTGTTTCAGACGTTCGCTGGCTTGCACAACGTGGGCTATTGTTGTTCACCGCGTACCGAAAGTGGCACAAGATACCACACCCTCTGGATAGACATCGACGCTCGACTACTCCGCGACGAAGAAGACACATAGAATGGAACTGTACGTTTCGGAAATAGACAGGGCGCCTCAATGCCGCCGTTTTCGGCGCTGCCACCCTCTCTACCGTGGAGAAAATGGGCTTTGAAAATCTGTCCGGGGAGCGTGGCATCTTGTGACGCCGGCAGTATACGGCGCACGCCATCCCCAAACGAAGCCGTACTGTTTGGCAGCAACCGTCCGTCCGTCGGTCAAATACTGGGCCAGATTTGTCACCTGGTTGTCGGGTGATGGCGCAACGCTCGCGTTTCCCGAATGAGGTCACCAACTCTCGAATGACCTACCCAAATACCTCGAAAATCAGCAGCCTGGTTTTGGGCTGGGCACCGTGCATGTTCACGGCTGTATTTCGGTAATCGAAGTCCCCCCGGTGCCCGCAGTTTTTCTTCAGTGGCGACAAAGGGGGCGGCGGTAGCGGCGGCGGCGGTGGCGGCGGCGGGGGAAAAAATGCTCCCGGAGGGGGTGCCGCAGGGTCATCGTCGTCCTCTTCCTCCAAGGCCACCTTCAGACACAACCAGTTCTACGTCATCCGCCCCATGCCAGTGTGAGTATTGGGGCTACCGCGTTTGTTGTTTGTTCCGAACTCGAGTTTAGGCGGTAAGTTCACCGGCATGGTGGGTAGGTATGTCCCTTATGGAGTACTTGGAACGTCCCATAGGTGTTTGGCGTGAGTATTTTCACTGCAGTTACACTTGGACACAAGCGTATCGTGCATGGGGGGTAAATTTCTCCCCTCCCAGCCGTTGTGTCAGTTGTTGGTCACGAAACTTCGAATCGTTTTCCTTTCGCCCCCCCATCCTCTCGGCCATGCTCTCGGCCATCCTCAGACAGGCAATCAACCCCTTTGCTAAGTGCCTCACGCCTTCTGCCCATGCACTCTTGCCGCACTGCTCCGACGCTCGTATTTATAGCGTGTTTTTGGTGGGGCAGACTGAGCCTCAGATGGAAGCACTGGAACCCACGAAGGCCACGTCAAAAGCCACGCATGTAAGTAAAAGCGCCTCTCGTCTGTGCTGCCTGTTTGTTTGTCCTTCCTTTTTATTTTGACACTTGCGTCTCTTCCCCCATGTCGCATCGGATGTCTCTCGTTCTATTCCTAGCTAACTCTCACCCGTCCGCGTCCTCTCAAAGACGCGTGGTCAATGGTCTAACCGCATGTAAGACATGAGTATGTCTCTTTCTTCTGCACGTACATTATTTTTTTGTCAGTTGAACATCGTTACATTTTTGGCGAAGCGGTTGTTCGACACGACCAAGGCGGCACAGGCAGGCAACGCCGGGATTCCCTTCAAGAAAGTGCTCGAGGAGGCCAGGTTCCTATCACTGCCTAGGGCCAAGGTATGCACAGTTGCATGTTCAGCACGACGCCGGCGTTGTGGGTTGAAAATTTTATTAGAACACAGAAAGGCTATCTACCCGTTGGAGATATAGCCACAGTCGAAAGGGATAGGTTGAAGTCTTTCAGTGAGAGGAGGTTAACCGGCTGGAGACTGGGAATATGTTGGGTCTGTTCAAGACGGACACTGAATTATACGTTGTTGTTCATGATACCTCTTGTTATCTTGGTCGTTTGTTGCCGTCGACGTTTTGGTTGAAAGCGCACCCAACCGACTCTTCTTTCGGTCAAGTCAATCAAGTTTCTGCTCAGTTATCATCTCCCGCCGCATCCTCTCTCTCGCTCTCTCTCTCTCTCTCTCTCTCTCTCCACCACTGTTGCTGGTGCTGTTGTCAGGACTCTGCCAAGGGGCGTTTGAAGGAAATGGTCCGAGAGATCGGCGAGAGGCGAGACGCGAGGGACGATGGCGACGGCCCAGTATCGACGGAGAGCCTGTGGGCCGCCAAGCCTGACCTCAACATGCAGCAGGTCACCGCGCAGGTGTGGTTGCCTACCCTGACTCATCTTGTTTTTCATGCTCGAGTCGACCTGATCGTGGTTTCTGTGCCACGTTGGTGTCCAGATTGTGTGCAGGTCCTGCTGTGAGTGCCTGGCCTACATCGACGGTTCACGAGTAAACAAACACATGCAGCACTCGCACTCAATATACACGCGGCGCATACTTGGGAGATTGCTTGTTTCGACCCGTCGATGCTGCTGTGGTTTGATCGACCAGCAGGCTCTCGCGGTCTTTGCTGATTAAGTACATAACGTGAACAAGGGACGAACACTCATGCACCCGATAACAAGTGTAGAAACGAAAGTCTCCCTTCTCCTCCCCTCCGACAGGCGGCAAAACTCTTCCGACCTGAGGACTTCTGCGCTCTCGAGAGCATGGTGTCCGCGTGGGCCCACCTCTCTGACGTTGGGCTGGACACCTTGACCTCCCACGATGCCGTCGCGAAGTTCCTTCTTAAGATCAAGAAGCGCCACGACTGTTTACTGGCCCAGGTAGGTGGTTGCTGGTGTCAGTTGCTTGCTTCCGGTGTTCATGTCGCTACTCGACAAGGGGCTTCTGCTAACGATGTCGCTACTCGACGAAGGGGTTGTGCTATCGATGTCGCTACTCGACTCGACGAAAGCGGAGCCATCCGCGACCACAAATCGCCGGCACGTTGCGCGTGTACGCATCAGCCGCGAACGGAAAAAAGCGTGAAGAGACTGACCCGTGTCATTTCTGCGGATTTATCACTTCCGCAGCCAAGGCAAGTGTGATTGTAGTGTCTCGCTTTTCACGGAATTGCGCGCCTCGGCCACAACCGTCCTTCACCAGGATGCAGAACGCCCGTCGCCAGTCCCACCAGCATCAAGTAGGTTGCCTGTCGTGTACCTGCAGCATTTGTTACAATCCGTTTTCTTCGGAACCTCTCCGTCCCGTCCCGTCCCGTCCAGCCGGGCCCCATTTCACCCCGCCCCGTTCCATTCTGTTCCCGTCCCGCCCCGTACCGCGTCATCTCATCCCTCCCCGCTCCGTTCCATTCGGTCCCGTCCCGTCCCGTTCGACCCAGGTCAAGGAGGTGCGATCCGCGAGCTCGGCGCTTAGCAAGCAGAAGAGCGTCTTGGCGAGGGCGGCTAGGGTGAGAGGGCGGCAGCCTCCGGAGCACGACGGCGGACTGACAAGGCGCCTCGCGTGCATGGAGAAGCTCTCGGAGGTGCGCAGTTGCGGTGTTGTTTTACATAAATCGATACGATATGGCGTTTTGGACAACAGCTCCACCATTCCATCGTGTACGGTAGCGGTTGGGTCAAGTTCATGGGGACGTTGGTCCCAAATGTGTGATTACCATGTTGTACGCTTTTTCGGTATGATGACCTGTGGATTGTGCTGTAGCCTGCAATAGTCGTTGTGGCAAGTTCAAGGCGAAGGTCTAGGGGGTGCGACGCTTGTGGTAACTCACCTGGGGTACGGACCGGCTGTGGCGCAGCGGTCGCTACGGATGGGATGGATATGTCTTCGGGGGTATCCATGATGATGAACGTACGGTCTAGGACAGCGTGCGTAATGCATGATGAATACCATGATGGGAACGCACGGTCGGACTCATTCGATGCTCGGTTACGGGCTGTTGCAGCAGCGGGACTGCGGTGTGCGGCATGCGTATCCTTGCTTGGACGACTTCTTGCAACCTAGACGTGAGAAGGAGAAAGAGAGGGACGCCATTCATGTCCGCTCGTGAGCGAGCGTGTACGCCCGTTGTTGGTGTTGCCGTCGCTGTCGCTGTTGCTGATTTCTTGTGCTTGGAAATATAGTAACGGCCAGAGAAGGACAGGGGAAACTCCGTTTTCGTGCCTACCTGGCAGTGCCTTTTGTTCCGATTCCTTGGGTCATCTATGTGGCTCTCATTTTCTCTCTCTGATGTGTGGGAATGAATATACAGGTCCTTGGGACCCAGCTAGCGGAGCTGAAGCGCGTCCGAGCCGTGGCGCAGTACATGTACAAGGAACTCCAAATGGTGCCGTGGACTCTGACCATCAACTACCTCAAGCGTCACGGGATCACCTCTTCCCCTGTGAGCTAGGCAGCCATAGCCACACGAGCACCCAGGCACCCAAGCACACAGGCACAGGCACAGGCACAGGCATATAGGCACACAAGAACACGAACACACAAATACACAAGCACTGGGTACAGGATGACCGCCGCAAAGTTTCGTGGTTTGCCTCGAGTTGTCTCTCAAGGCGGCGTAGGAGTACTCATGAGCCTGTGGGCCGGGGTGGGCTTTGTCGTGAGCTTGCTTTCCGTTTTTTGGGGGCTGAAGACCCTGACTCCGGAGATACATACCCGGCATAACAATACCCCGGGGCCTCGACAACCAGGCTTGAAAGGCATCGGGAGGTCTCTATGTACTCTGGAGCGTTGTCTGAGTAATCCCCATTGATCCTACGATTTAGGTAGGAGAATTGCACGCTTGCGCACTTCGTTATCGCGTCTACATGTGCCTTCGTGCAAGCTCTTCGTGGGGTAGCGTATTACCGTGTCAAGTATTGTCGTGTTAAGCAACAGGACACGATCGTCCGGCGTCCATAACGCTCGTATTTCTTCGGGAATTCATAGATGCGCGTGATGATTGCGAAGCACGGACGAGATTTCGGGGATGCAAGGGGAGACATCTCAACGTTGTTCTCGGAACCTTATTCTGACCCATCTATGCCCGCCTCCTAGGCCTACATGTGCGTGCACAGCCACTCTTGTTTCGAGTCTTTGTGCCGTTGGTGCCTTCTTGGATTCTTTTTGGTCATGCGGTACGCAGCAAATCCAGCTCGGTCATTCCAACCGTCGCTTGAACATGTAATTCCCGAACCCACGGCGGTCTGTTCTTGCTACCACCTGCAGTTGTCGCAACGTGCCGAATCACCCGACCATTGTACGCTTTTCGTGATTACTCATCAGGCGGCCAGTCTCCTGATGCTGAGCGGCATGGGAGACCCTTCTGGCTGTGGCGAAGGGTTCAGCTTCCTTCCACGTCCTGCCGAGCAGGCGAAGGCTACGACTTCCTTGACAACTAGCCAGAAGATCGTCGCCGAGAGGAGCGTGCAGAAAGTCACCGGCACCAACAGCGACCTCAGGTATTCTTCGTCGCTGATGATGGTGTTGCTGTTGCTGTTGCTGTTGTTGTTGCTGCTGCTGCTGCTGCTACTGAACCGGTTGCTGTAATTGTTATTGTTGATGCTGTTGCTGCTGTTGCTGCTGTTGCTGCTGTTGCTGCTGCGGTTGTGCGGTTGTCGTGTACCGTTCACCGTTCTTTTTCCAAACTTGTTCCGTATGTGGCAAGCGTGACTTCAACAAAGCAAGCGTCTTCCTCGCACACACGAACCTCTGTGGCACTCGCTCCGAATGTGGTGGCTAATCTGGAGTTCCTCTCTGCCTGTAGATTGTCCGTCTGCAGGCTTATTGTCTTTTAATGATCCGTGTGCGGGCCCCCCTTTGCTGATTCTCTCGGCGTGTTGACTGTTCAGGCGACTGACGATGCTCCAGCTGGCGTCGACGTGCGAAGCCATGGGAATCCCGAAGGACACTGTCAAGACCCTCCGACGCTGGGACAGGGTGCACATGATCAAAGAGCTGGCGGGCGTTGCGGTAGGTACCGTACCGATTGTTGGTCTTCACCACCTCCTTCGGCTGGTGTCATTCTGCATCCCTTTTTTATTCGGTTGCATCTTTCTGCAAGCTGTCCTTCTGGTTGTGTTTGGTCGTCGTTATCATTCCTCTATGCATGTACTTGTGTGTGCGCTTCTCTGTCTCTCTCATTCCTCCTCTGGAATCGAACCGATATTGTGTTTTCAGGTGGCCGAAAACGTGAAAGATCAGAACATCTACGCGCGGTTTGTGCGAAAGAGGCGGCCCAACGCCACCATCGACAAGGACCTCTACCGGGCGTGAGTATGACCCATGCATTCGGGATACCAAAGGCCGATACCTGGTACATGTTGCGCTTGTCTCGCGGGTTTGGGGTACACGGGCAAATTCTGGTGTCACTGTACGAGCTGCACTGGTCGTTGGGCCGCGATATCTTCCTTTTATTTCAACGAACAATCAAGCGGCAGGAGCCTTGTTCACAACTGCTTGTGAGTGAATCGACGTATTCACATTCCTCGCAGCGGGAATAGCAGCACCTCACCGTACGATACGGTGCCAAACCGAACAGTACCGTGCCATACCGTACCGTACCGTACCGTACCGTTCCGTGCCGTGGTTGTTGCAACTGGCGCCTCTCCTCTTGCGGACGTGAGTCTTTCACCACAATGGCATATCAACAACATTGCTAACTTCACTTTCATGCAGTTGTCCAGCACGTCAAGTGCCTCTCAACTTAGCGTAAGCCAAGCTGTGAGCGCACGGGCGAGTGGTTTAGTGGTGCTGTGCTCGGTCGTGCTTATCTTCACGCTACGCCCGCTGCCACTGGTGCCATTTCCATATTTTTGCTATTTTCTCGACGCCTGCCGCTGCTCCCGTTCTTTTCCGCTGGCAGAACCTGCAACGAGATCTGGGAGAGACAAGCCCTGGCGCTTTCGGCAACAGCGGAAGATGTGCAGGAATACGGCAGGTGATCGATCCTACATCGTAGTCATGGGTGTCTCGCTTTCCTGCGATTCAGGGGCCCTCGTTCGGCGTGTTCATTTCCTCTCCCCCTCTCCCTTGACCGGAACCTTAGCCACCTGTTTCTCCCGCGTCTGTTGAGAATTTCTCCTTTGAATTTTGTCCGTTTTTTTCGTTCTTTCATATCCTGTGTGGGTCATTTTTGCAGTATACTTTTTGTGTACTCTTTCTTGGGTGTTAAAACATACCGAACACCTTTCGCGACCTTCCTCGCGTCTATTCTTGCCTGTTTTTGACCCAGCGAGTCCGCATCAAGTTCCAAGGCCAAGGATAAGGCCGAAGCTTCCAAAGGTAAGGGCGGCGAAGCGTCCAAGGGCAAGGTGGCTGGGGCTTCCCCCGGTGGAAGCAAGGACAGCGACAAGGGCGAGGAGAAGGAGGACGGTGACGAAGACAAGGAGGACGATGATGGTGATGACGATGACCTTGACGGCTTGAACGTGGATGACCTCGACCTTAGCGGTGACGACGACGACGAAAACGACGGCCTCAACTTGAGCGACATGGAGGAGGTACATTCTTTGCTGCTGCTGCTGCTAAGGTGGTGGCGACAGTAGCATCCGCGGAAGCGGTAATGGCAGGAGCTTTTCTTTGTGTGGCAATGCCGATGGTGTACGGCGACGGACGTCGGGAGTGGGTTCGGTCGTATTTTCTACCCTCCGGCAAGACAGCATGTTTGGTATGATGTGACCCATCTCATTTGAATGTTGTCGGCGATTTGAAGTTGTTAAGACAAAAGTTCGCCCGGGAACGTACCAGTCTCCGAAGATTTGATCTTGTCTTCTAATCACGGGCTCTGCACCGGCTCGACGCCTGTGCGATGGCCCACACGGCTTGCGCCACCGTCGCAAGTGTTCCGTTACTCAACTAACTTGAGAGCCGTTTCTGGTCCTCAATCAACGATGGTCGTGCAGACACTGGAGGGGGGGGACGGAGACGGAGATGCCCCGGTTGCGAAAAGCCTCCAAGATCTGTCTTCCTCGTCCCAGAAGAACACGGACGAGCTCGACGACGAGCGACAGTACCGCATGCTCCAGCAAGACCTTCATGGGGTTCGAGGGGAAGCGGCCCGGTGGGGGACGGGAGAGGTGAGCTCGAGAGGGGGGGGGCGAAATGTCGTTTATGCTACTATGCCGTGGGACACGACGTCGGAGGGTGGCGATAGAGCCCGGAGCCCTACATCGATTACCTGTTTTCTCCCCATTTTTATCGGATGGATGATGATTTTCCCCACGATGTTTGGGCCCGCCTTTTCCGCAACACCGTGCTGCCTGTTGGCGCTTGCTTCCGGTACACAAAGCTTTCCTGTTTTTTTTTTGGCGATTTTTATCGAATTCGCGATGCATCCTGGATTGCTCCGCTTCCTTCCTCACGCGGCGCAAAACAGGGGCCCGATGCCGCTCCGCAGGGGAGCATGTCGCTCAACGTTGTGGAAGCTCGGAAGGCCCAGACGGAGGAGCTGCTAGGGCAGCTGGGGGGACGGGCGCAGCTCCCTGCGCAGGCCGTCAGGCGTATCACCAGAACGGTCGGGTACGTGTCTTCGAAGCATTTCTTATCGTGTCTTGCCGTTTCGTATTCGGAGGATAGTCGCAGTTTGTTAGTCATTGTGCATGACCTCGTTTAGCTTGCTGTGTGGCCTTCTGTCTTGCATACCTTTTGGTGGTGCACCTAGCTTCCGGGCAAGCGATTCATCTGTTATTCTCACGTACATATGCCCCGTTCCCTGCTTCGTTGGCGACAGTGCTGGCCAAGTCTGTCTTCCTGGTGTGCTTCCTCCTACTCCTGCTCCTACTCCGCCTCCTCTGCTTGTGCTGTCGCTGCTTTCCATCTCTCTCCCTCATTCCATAGTATTTATAGTGCATCTTCCCCTCTCTCGCTCTTGCTGCAATGTCCACCCCAGTCATCCCCACCGCTTCAACAACTGAGTTCGCCATTCGATGCCTCTGCCCGAATCTAGGCCGGATGGCACTGAGACTGTCAGGGTTTCATACTCCTTAAGGAGGCAGGACCTCGTGCGGCTGGATGCAAGGGTGGGAAAGAAGCAGACGGCGCTTTCCAAGGTACTAACAAAGGCTCCCTGTCGATGGCCGTGCGGAATGTTGGCATCGTCTGCTGCCTATTGTTTTGTCTGTTCGGGTGGAACTGTCAGAATCAATGAAACCGTTCCAAGAATGGCTTGCACCGCTTGAGGGTGCTGTACCTCGGTGGTTAAGCTGATAGAGTGAACCATTGGCCTTCTTTGGTGTAATCCCTCTCGGATTACCTAGCACCATTTCGTGCTGCATTTTCCACTGATTGATGTTTCTTTCGATCACATGCGGTGGACCAAACACGTTGTACGTTTCGCAGCACTCATCTACCACACCTCCTTTCTCAACTTGCGCTTTTTACATGGCGTGCGAACTCTCGCACACAATGGTTTCGGACGTTGGATTGTTGACCTTCTTCCCTGGGCATAATCGATTTTTTTGCGTTGGAAGAGTGCCGCGGCTTCCGGAGGGGTCGGCGGCGCCAGTCCTTTGAGTTTCTTCTTGCCCAGGCCGCAGGCTTCTGCGGAGTCAAAGGCGGCGGCTTACGAGGAGGTAAGCGGAGGAGACGAATCGGGGGGGGGGGTGTTCTCTTATGTTTGGCATGCCTTCGCGGTTAGACCATTGACCACCCGTCCTGGAGAGGACGGAGCATTGTTCCCACAGGTCCGATCACGGATGGCCAATCGTTCCTTTCTTCTTTGCCAAAGGTGACTCAACAATGTCTTCCCTAGTCTGTCTATTCTAACGATATCCCTTCCCGCCTTTTCAACCCACCTCCAATGCCCCAGTACAGCTACCGTCCTTGCCTCTCTATTCCATGCCTCAAACATCTCCCTGTACGTCCCATCTATTTTTCTCAGCTCAGTCACGTACACTTCCCTCTCCTTCTTGTACCACTGACATTCCGCGACTACATGAACACGGTCTTCGCATTGGAAGCCGCAANCGGCACAAGCAACAGATATCTTCTCCTTGAACCCCTGTAGACCCTCCGTTTCCAGCGTTTCATCTTCGCCGATGTCGAGCCCCTTCCATACGTCCTCTACAACCTTGACCCATTCCGTGGGTTGTCTACCCCTCTTTTTGTTCGCCCACGTCGCCTCCCATACAATTCTCGGCAACCTCTCCTCTCCCGTTCCGCACATGCGATACTGCCATGTCAGCTCCCTCGCGTCTCTTCCCGACCGTAGGTATTGGATCCCCAATTCTGCCCTGACGGCTGCATTACTTGTGCGCTTGGAGCATCCTAGG